TTCATGTCCAGAAAGCAGTAAATAATATATAACAACTTATTATTTTATCTTACAGTAGGCTGAAAACTCAATGAAAAAATCACATGCATGTTCTATTTCGGAATGCTGATCACTTCAAGAAATTATATTTTAAATGAACACTTCCCAATGCAACATTCCGCAATACAATCATATCATACATAAGTTAAAAGCACAACGTATATTAAATTTGCTCAAATTGTAACATATGCATTAGTACTACTATAATATGAGTAACGCAGATTATTAATCTTGATAGATATCATCAAAGATTGTAAAAATATCATTTTTCACTCGGTCAATCTTTGGGGTTTCAGAGGTTTGATGTGGAGGTGACGAAGGTGGAGAGGGTGTAGATTGGCGAGCTATTGCCATTCTTGTAATTTTTGTGTTAAGCATCAATAATGTGTGCTATATTAATACAAGACATTTGTTGGTACTTGGCAAAAATTAAAAGTTAAGGACACGTCAATAGTATAAAAAAACTCACTCTAAACCCAAGGAGATTTTTAATGAATGGTCCCAATAAACTTTCCACTGCCGACATGGTCTTTGGAACAATTAACGTAGCAACTTCTGATAAAAAATAAAAATTGACATCATAATTATATGATAGACAATATATTGTCCACTTTTGATCTATTAATTTCATTGAGACAAGGGTGAACACACATCCATTCAGATGAACTAATAAAAACCACAAAATATTCTTCATACCAGTTGCTTGAATTCCCATGACAAAGATTTCGGCTAAATCTTTCTTTTTAAAATGAAGCACATCATAGAAGTTATCTATCATGTCCTTCAATTCTATTTTTAATGCTGTATGATCCTCACGAAACTTCAAATCATCATGGTCTTTTTGAGTGATGCCAACTTCTGCAGTTACCAATTCAATACCGTAATTGCGTAACTCTATGACAACGTCTAATTTAGTAGACTCGTTCCCAAATTTAACATATTCTGCATGGATTTTACGTCTTTTTCTAGTTTGCACTGCTTTAGATTCTTTTTCGATCCTAAGTATTTATAAAAATTTAACATTTAATTGAAGAAAAAAAAAATCAGATATCAGAGGTATTGTACCAATATGTTTGGAAACGACCGCTGTCATGTTCTTCCAAAAGATCAGTTAAGATAGGAGACATAATTCTTAATATATAGTCTCTTTCTCGTGTTGGGAGAAACAATATGTTTACTTCACGTCTGTAACACTTATGACTGTAGAAAAAATAACAGAAGTTAAGGTATTTATTTTGTTATATATATTAAGCGTATTAGTTAACTTACAAAAAAGAAATAATTTCGGCCGATAAATTGCCATCTTCAGATCCAATGTTTGATAGTTTATCTTTTAACTGTTTCAAATCATTTAAATTTCTCTATAATATAAACATTATGAATTAACATTTTTTCATACCATGATAATATGCCAAGTAAATGGTACAATAATAAATATAACAAATATAAGGATTATTACCAGACTGGTATTGTCAATTAAATGAATAACATTTTCATCGATTTGATCTTTTAATAATTTTTGCTGACACGTTCTGAATAATTTCGCTTTATCTTCAGTCTTCAGAATTCGCGACCACTCAACACTTGACCAGTTCGTCAAGTCGATTATTCTTGATTCTATTGCTCTGTCATTTACAAAAAGCGTTGATAGTATGTTGTTACTAGATTAATAATTGCACGATCATACATGGAAAAATACTTACTGAACTTTTATATTTTTTTCGCTCATACGATCCATGACTAATTTCCATACCTCTTCCAGTTCATTAGATGGTAGAAGCCTTTTGATCTGTAAGCAAAGTCATCAATAATTACTTAGAGAATCGAAGGATTATACTCAATGGAATCAGAAACCTACCGTTTCATTTGCTCTTCTCTCTAATTCTATCATAGATTCATTGTCGATATCCAAAGTTTGTGAGTTGGCAGTACTTGTTTCGGAAAAATTGATATCAACTTCCTTTTCCAAATCTTGATTTGACTGCTGTATTTGATGAGGTGGAGCGGATATAATGATAGTCATTAAAAATGCTCACTATAAAATTCAAGGCGACAATCTTATAACAAAAGTTTATTGTTATATATATTTTTATTCTAACCTCTGGTAATGATTTTCGCTTTTGTCCAGTAGACACAGTGGGTTGGAAAATATCATCATCAGGTTTATTGCCTGTTTCTCGTAATTGATCAATAAGCTTCTGGTTCTCTTGCTGATCCTAAAGATTTTTGATAAGTCGATATCTATCGTAAATATTAATTTTGATCTTTGTAAATCTTACCTTTAAAACTTTGACTGTATACGTGGACGTGACATTAAGTCGCGCTTCTTCGTGATATTCAAGATCTTTGATGAATTGCTTCACTTCGGCAGTGGAGAATGATGAGTTATAATTAGATAAAATCTTCGTTGCTTTGTTTCTGGTATGTACGTGAATGTTACATTTTTTTTTCATAACTTCGTAATATTGTGTATAGATCGTCCTTAAAATCATTGATTGTGGCCACGGATAATTTAGGGCTCAAGTTTGATCGCGCAAATTCTAAAATTCCGAGAATTGACCAGTCTTTGCCTTTTGTTTCATCAAGATATTCCGTAACAACAGATTCAAACATCTAAAAAGAAATTAATGCATTCAAAAGCCGTTTATCCATTTTAATAAAAGCAACGTGGTAATGTCTACAGTCAACTGTATACTGGAAAACAGCATGCTGAAGCGTGCCTTAAACACGTATGCTTAAGGATTGTCCAGGAGACTGTCTC